GCTAGAGGCACGGTCCCATTAGTTCTCCGAGGCAAGAATTTCAAACCCCATTTCTCCACGTACCGACGCTCTCGATTGTTTAGCGGCAGTAGCTTTATCTCAAACACCCGTTTCGACCCCTCAAACAAAACACAAAGACCTTCTTCATCTTACCGATACTTCACCTCATCTCGATCCTACCGACATTACACCTCATGCTAATCTTTCATCGATAGATCGTATACGTCGTATGGAAGAAACTACCGAGTCGGAATATAGACTTAAGGGAAATACTTACATTACACCTATTTCGCCTCTCCCGCGAATCTCCGATATAAGAGGGACGGAAATCTCACGAATGTTAAGACCTAGAGTCGTTATTCCTCCTGATGAACTTAATATTGAAGAGAAAAATGAGATATCTGGGGAAAGGAATGAAAGATTATCTTCTACATTGAATATTTCACATGAAGAACGTCATTCGACTGAGTCGGAGTTGGAAAGTGGTTCAGACTATCCGGAAAGAAGAAAACGTAAAATATCAGGACCTCAAGAATCTCATCTAATTGCAGAATATGGTGAAATGATAAGAGCTGAAACTGAAACTCCAAACTTTCGGAATAATCGTGAACTTGTCGTGATGGAAGATAGGGATAAGGATATAGATGAGAACAGAAATAAATATCGTAGAATCAATCTTCATCAACTATCAAATGCTAAACATAGGGAAATGGAAATGGAAAAACAAGAATATTTATCTCGAGCTAGATGGATGTGGGATGTTTTGAATACGGTTGAAAGACGTTTAACGGAAAGTGAAGAAGAACCGGTCAGGGTGAAAAGTGAACCTTTGTAGTAGAGTACTCTTACTCCTTTCACCCTTTGTTGGTGGTATATACAGTAAGTTTGAAAAGATTCATTGAGATACCTGATGAGAGATGGATATGGACATGGACATTGGATCGAAAGAATGATGAGATACAACAATGGACATTTGATGTTGAGTTGAAAAGATATTGATCAGAGTATGGACAATTTGCTTCAATTTCAATTATGTTTTATTTATGACCAATATCAGATGCACAAAAAAAAAACATGTCACGATACCTTTTTAAATATCTAAGTTATTGAAGATCATCTCATTACCCAAATTAATTCTATGTACAACCGAAGAAAAAGATACAAAAAAAGATCCACACTTGTCTCATTGAACCTTTACCAACCCTTCACCACCCTCTGATTAACTTTACGTTTCTTCATACTCCCATTTGCGAACCTTCCTTTCAGATTCTCCTTCACGATCGACTCTTCGTCGGAACTGCTTTCCTCTTCGGAACTACTTTCTTCCATCTCAGCTTTCTTCGGTATGGGTTGACTAACACTTTGGTTGGTATTCCTAGTAGAACGAATACGTAGATGTTCTTTGGATAAAGAAGACAAAGAAGGGATAGAGATGATAGGTTGAGATGCCGCTGAACGGTTCGTTCGACGTGGTGGAAGAATTGGTATTGGGGATTCAGATTCACTTGATGTATCGGGGCCATCAATATGTGACTTTATCCCATTTACTATTCCATCCAATTTGACATTGATCTTCTTATTTGAAAGAGGGTCTGATGACGACGTGGGAGGTTTTGATTGAGAAAGAGTTGCAATAGGAGTTTTAACACTTTGTGAAGGTAAAGAGTCTTCTTCGTCTTCTTCCACTATAGGAGATGTATGTCGTATACTTGTTTTTGATCGACGATTGAGAACGGATCGACCAGAAGAAACATCAGGACTTTGTGATTGACTTTTTTGTACTTGAGTGTTAGGTAAACTTCCAGAGAACATTTGAGTAGCAGCGGGTTGACTTTGCGTCATGAATAATCCATCATTCTTTTTTGCCCGTCCCTTCACCGGACGAGATTTTGGTGTATCCGAATTGAGTGAGCTGGAAGTGGGTATATCCACAGGATCAGAAAGTGTGTTCGGAACATTCATGGGATGAGGAAGTGATGAAGGAGGTACAAGTGTGATTGGTGATTCTGGAGGATGAGAAGATGATTTAGGTTCGGGCTGAGTGGATTTTCTGTTTGTTCGTCGGCGACCAACCTGCATGTTTCAGCTTTGAAAAACCTCATCTGTCTGCGTTTCACTCACAGTATCACTGACATCACTTGTCATGCCCCCTGTCGTCTTGTCCACCACTACAGTGTCGGTGATGACACGCTTGGGTGTCCTGAGTGTTCGAGGGGAGACGGGAAGCGATGGTTCTCTAGACATTGATCGTGTGACACGTTGTGTAGATACTTCTTTTGAGGTAGATCGAGTTTGCCGTCTTTGAGTAGAGATCTCGGCTGGTGGAGCCAGACTACTCTGTGAGGTGTTCACAACCTCCTTCGACGTCCGACTGCGTTGAGCACGTGGAGGAGGTTTTGGCGGTGGGACTCTCGGAGGATCTTGATCGTGATCTGAAGAAGGGGGAGAGGGCAGACCAGTAGGAACCAGTTGGGTAGGTCTAAGCTCTGCAGAAGGTTCGTTCTGACTTTCGACGATTACGTCGTTGCCGCCGGCCGAGGCGGGGGGAAGAACCGTATCGGCAGTCGCCTCTTCATCGATAGCGTTCATAAGAGCAATATGACCGCCAAAGTTCTCCACAGAGGGACTGGGTTGATTGAGTTCAGCGAATGATTTAATGGAACGTATTGATGGTTCATCCTGTAACACATCCTCTTCGGACCCGTCTTCGTCGAACTCCCCATCTTCTACTCCATCGTCGACTCCTGGAACATCGGAATTTTCATTTTCATCCTCATCATCGTCAAATTCACCATCCTCCGCAACTGTCTCGACGACTTCGGTCGTGTTCTTTCTTTCGGAGGACTCACCGTCCCCATCGGATGAAGCCTCAGAGGGGTCGACCTCGTCATCAACGGCAGTGATTGCGATTTGAGGTGGTTGTGTCACGGGCTCGATCTCCGAGTCATTTGTTGACGCGCCATCTTCAGCCTCGCCAAATTCCTCGATTGAACTATCTTCATCTCCCCGTTTATGCTCACCACTCTGTGGCGGTTTCTTCTGAGAATCGACATCGTCACTTTCATCCTCATCCTCGTCCAATTCTCCATCTTCATCCAAAATATTGACCGACGAACGCATGTTAGCCGCAAGTTGGCTCGCCCGTCTTTGTGCTCGAGGGGACTGTGGTTTAGTCAGGAAATGTCTCAGAACATCACCGGAAGGAACACTGATCGAAGTCCCAGAGCTCGTATCCACATCTTTGACGTTATCCTGCTGCGAGATAGACTGTTCATCTCCACTATCCTCGTCCTCGTCCTCGCTCGCGCTATCAGACTGATCCTCATCTCCATCTGCGTCCTCCTCCTCACTTTCGCCCTCCTTCAACGGACCATTGATCCCCTCAGGTCCAGACACTTGTCTGACTGGGTCTTCGTCTGCGTCCGAGGTCCCTCCGAGGTCGGAAGTCTCCGAGTCAGATTCCGAGGCACCCGTCTCAATGACGGCATCTGAGACGCTCCAACCTGACATCGATCCTGCCTTGCGAGCTAATGCTTGGGCTTTGTGGAGAATTGGTGATAGGATAGCCCGTTGAGGAGATGGAGACCGCTTGGGCTCATTGACAAGGGGAGAAGGTGGAGTCGTCTCGGGCCTATTCGAATTGGCGTCTACAATCTCTACTGGTTCTTCCGGTCCTAGCTGGGCAGAAACTGCTGCCATAGAACCACTCCCAGATCTTTCCTGTCGTTTCTGCAAAACTTCAGCTACCGACGAGTCCAAGACAGATGCCATAGCCGTTGGAGTGACCGTCCCAGTCACTTTGGATTTGATCTTGGTGAGACGACGTATCCACATCTCTATCGCGTCGATTGAAGCAGATTTGACGCCACCTTCGACATCCGGCTCCGTTTTACGTTGTATCAAAATGCCACGTAGAGCGTCGACACCTTGTTTGACGATTGGACAGTCTTTTTGAAGATGTATAGGGATTTCACCGCAAATGACACAAGCGGCACGATACGCCATTCGAGCATGTGCAGCTTTGACACTGCGAGGTCCGACGTTGGCGGGCAGGGCCGGTTTACCGAGTTTGGACTGTCCTGATTTTGTGGATGAAGCGCTGACGTTATTGAGTTCTGCGGTGGGGGGACTGGGAAACTGTTCGATAGGACTGATGGCCGAGGTGAGAGGGGTATTGGTAGTCGGTGCTTGAAGAGTATTAGCTTTGTCCGCATCAACAGTCAAGGCAGCTTTTGGCTTGCGCGAGCGTTTCTTAGAGGCCAAGTCCGCAGGTGCGTCTTCAGTCGATTTTCCTCCCGCCAGGGCCTCTTTCGGAGATGTCGTCGATAATTTCTGCCCGGCTTTCTGTTTCGCCTTGCTCGGCAAAGTTTGAGGCGGGTCCGACACTCGCACGTCAGTGCCGACAACCTTCTCGCTAGGAAATTCCGAAGGACCCGGCTCTTCGATGACTGGATCCGATCCTGAGGGTTCCGCCGAAGCCTTCCTCTTAGTCCTATTTCTCCTTTTCTTCCGCGGTACCTCCTTATTTTCATCCTCGTCCGAACTTAGCATCTGCTCTTCATTGCGCTTCAACAACCTCTTTACCGGGGGGTCGATGGAAGAAGACGACATTCTGGGATGACGAATGGACAAGAGCTGTTGGTCTCGGAAGAAGATGCTGTATGGGGAGAAAAGAGAAAGGGATAGTGGATGTGGATGAGACTCTGATAGTCGAACACCTGCAGGTGTTTCGGTCACAGCAGCTGAAATCTCTTCGCTCGTCGTGACAGGCTTGCTGGATTCTTCGACTTTTTCGTCGACATGAGATCTCCCTGAAGGTGCGCTGGATCCATCACGAGCGATCGTTGAAGGAGTCTCGGCATCTGAAATATCGGATGATAAATCAGATGATAGCAACGGTGTGCTAGCGCGACTTGAGGGATGCTCCACCGTCTCTGGAGGTGGCATGGCAACAGGAGCCAGGATCGGCATGACAGGCGCAGATTTGAGGGCGGGTTCGAGAGTCGGCTCAGGAAGAGCCTCGGAAGCAGGCTCATGGACGGGCCTCTCGATATCGGGAGTGGCCGACGAACTGACACGGTCAGGAGTTGCAGCTATCGGGGAAGTATCATCGACCTGTACAGGAGAAATGGGATCACTTGTAGATGGCTGTTCGAGATCGTCCGAAGGTTCATCCGTGACTCCTCTCAAATCCGGTGAGGAAGGAATGAGTGATTGCTCACGTGGAAGTGCCGGAGAGACTGCGACAGTTCTTTCTCTAGCCCCAGGTGGCAACGGTGTAGCATTTGTTCTGGCAGGGGATACGTGGCGCACATGAGGGATGTCGAGGGAAGTCGGCTCGTGAACGGCTTGACTCTTTCTTTTCCGGCGTCGCTTCCGCGATACAGTCCCCGATCCACTACCCGGTGTTCGAAGGGCAACGGCATCCGATGTCTTGATTTCTTGAATGGAAGGGGTTGACAAGGCTGATTTTGGAGTCGCCCTCGGGGTATGATCGTCGTTTGCCAGCATGGCTTTGTGCTCCGGCTTTTTCTTCATGGTCGGGACTTTAAAGATAGAGTCGGACAGGCTACTTCCTTTCGCCGCGGATGACGCTACTGACCTGACTGGATCGGGTGTGAAAGGTTCCATGGGACGAACGCTGGAAGACGCCGAGTAAACTTTGACTATCAGAGGTTGGCTAGAGGCCAGTGCCCTTTCCCGGAATGCCTGAAAGTCATATTCTGTCATGTCAGCGCTTGAAACATCTCGTGCTGTAGGTTTAGAGCTCACCATCGTAGATATCACCCTCTGTTCCATCCTTTCTCACATGAGCTAGCCGGATGGAAGTTCCGTAGAGCGGTATTTGTAGTGCTCGTGCGATCTTGACGACGAGCGAATCGAGGTCTTCTCCTCTTGCTAACACTGTCAGCAATTGTAATCATTCACTCTAGGTGACTATTGATGATATGGGCTTAGTCCAACTCACTCAGTGGCTTGGTGCATGATCGAACACCCCCCGCGAGCTGATATTGTACCGACACGGAAGCAGGGTGAGCCACTGGGCTCTCGGAAGCCAACTTTTTGGCGGGTGTCTCCTGTCTGATCGCGTCATCCAAAGATACCATGGGTGTATCTTGGAGTGATTTGTGCTTGGTCATGACTGTTAGCTGTCTTGGCCATGACCCAAACACAGTAAGTAGAGCAATGAGAGATACTTTGAGCGAGTTTGTATGGGCAAGAGAAATCTCATCCCTTGTGAGAAGGGGGGGGGTCGAATAAGGAAATTTGGGGACCCCACTAACGCCAAGTTACTCGTGACTTATTCACCGGTATCTACTCGTTTAGACTCTTCTTATGTATGTTGCCCCCTAACCCTACCTCTCCACACTGTCTAGTCTTCTCATCACAGTCTGGTTAATGCTTGCACATCCTCGAGTCTCTTATATTGTTCTCTCTTCCCCTATCTCTGCCATCCGCGAATAATATCGGCAGAGCGTCCGCTAAGACGTTCGCAATCGACTTCGATTTTGGTGACTCGATCCATCTTCACCATGGTCGCATTAGATATCAACGACACTTCCAAGGCTCTCGCCGTCAGTGGGGGATACGTGGCTGTTGTCGGACTCGTTTCTTACTTTCTCAAAGAAAAGCTTTTCATGTGTACGTCCTTCCTCGCAAAAACTCACCTGGCCCAGTTGACGGGCAGCTGAAGCACTCCTGGCCACGGTCGCAGGTATCATATTCGGACCTCGCGTTCTCAACTGGTTCAACCCGCAAGAATGGATAGGAGGATCGGACGTAGATCTCAACCACCTCACATTTCAAATCACGAGGATCGTCATCGGCATTCAAGTGCTCTTCACCGGTATCGCCCTCCCCAAGGCGTACCTCAAGAAAGAATGGTTGTCCCTCACCACGCTTCTTGGACCGATCATGCTGGCAGCTTGGTTCGTCACTAGTCTCCTCATCTGGGGTCTCATACCTGGATTAACCTTTCTTGAATGTCTGGTGATTGCGGCTTGTGTCACCCCGACGGATCCCGTCTTGGCCAACTCTATTTGCAAGGGTGAGTCGTAGGCCTCTGAAATCATCGTATGTCATCTGATCGATGACAGGTCGCTTTGCCGAAAAACACGTACCTGCTCATGTACGAAACATCATTGTGGCCGAATCAGGCGCTAATGATGGTCTGGGGTTTCCCTTCCTCTACATCGGCCTGTACCTCATGCTCATCAAAACCCCTGATCATCCCATGCACTCAGTGGGAGGTGCTATCGCAGAATGGTACGTCAATGCATTGCATCTCTTAACCCACTCCGAGTCCAGACCTGACTTGTAGGATCTACAATGTGATTCTATATCAAATCCTTCTATCGGTCGTCATTGGCGCGATCATCGGCTTTGTCGCTCGGAAGATACTCAAATTTGCCGAAGCGCGCTCGTAAGTCCCACGCCAGCATGATCAGGCAGGTGTTGTACTGACAGCTCGTCCAGACTGATCGATCACGAGTCTTTCTTGTCTTTCGGCGTCGCTCTCACATTCTTCACTCTGGGAGTCGTGGGCATATTAGGTTCAGACGATATCCTGTGTTGCTTCATTGTGGGAAACAGCTTTACTTGGGATGATTGGTTTCGTAAGTCAACGCGGATATCTTCATGTAATCAGTCAGATGCCAGCTAACGCCGCAGGGGTACAAACCGAAAGCCATGCCTTCCAAGATGTCATTGACCAGTTATTATCCAGTGTGAGCCCCTCCTTTCATCAACATCACTTGTGTCTGATAAGCAGGCTATCTTTTTGTACATCGGAGCAATAATGCCTTGGTCCTCATTCGGTAACTTCCATGACATCACAGTATGGAGACTGGTATGCCTTGGCTTACTAGTGATGCTCCTCCGGCGCTTGCCGTGGGTCATAGGCCTTGTCAGTCTGCCATCCTACCCTTCTCTTCTGTGATTCTCAACCCAAGCTGATACTCAGGCCTCGTTCAAAATGATACCCACTTTGCCAACATGGCGGGAATCCGCTTTTGCTGGCTTCTTTGGACCTATCGGTTTGTTACACATTCCGATTCCCTTCGTTTGGCTGATACGCAGGTGTCGGGGCGGTTTTCTACAATAGTATCGCTCTGGAGGTTATCCCGGTGGAAGGTCGTGAAAACCTTCGAGCCGTCGTTACGCCCGTCGTATACTTCTTGGTCCTCACCTCCGTCGTCATTCACGGTATCACCATACCCGTCGGCAAAGGCTTTCAGCGAGCGCGGACCTCAACCCTCTCCCGATCTCAGACCACGACTGCAGGTATCGTATCCCGTCTTCCGCCTCCAGTACCCCTCGAAAGGGAAAACGCCCGATTCGACGAAGAGGCACGGACACGCACTCCGCGAACGCTATCCAGGTCGACAAGTATGGGCATTGAGAGCGGAACAAACGTTCATTTCAGTCCTCTCGATGGCGGCAAGCAACTGTCTGGATCGCCCCTCTACCAGTCGCATCAGTCATCGACGACTGGCACATCTTTGCAAAATCAAAGTCGAGAAAACCTTCCACGCTCGTCAACGGTGGGAAGCCAAGGTATCACCGAGACTGCCTGGAATGAAGGAAATCAGGTCGTCATCGAGTCCGAAGGTGGAGAGAACGTTAGAGTGTTGAACAGGCGGAGTCATGATGCGCATGGAGCAGAGTGAGTCGGAAACGTGATGTGTGGCAAGTATGACGATATTTGCATTTTGCATTGTGCACGGACGGAAACGAGACACCAGAGGAGATGAAATCCTCCTTTGCTGGTATTGCCACCCTGAATTACTGAATTCTGATGGTCTGACGTCATTCTTTGATTCTGATCACTCAGCATTGTAAGAAAACGGTCACGTTGGACTCATGCCAGGGGATATTGTTTGGTCATTGTGTTGTCCTCGCAGGTCATTGATGGTCGATGTTTGTCACGGGCACGTGTGCTAAACAGGGGTTGCTCAGAAGTGGAACGGACTTCATAATTCCGAGACTCAGGGGGACAATTTTGTGTATGGTGTTTCAAAGGTTTTACACATTCACTTACCATACACCAGCGTCACTGACCAGCAGACAACGTCCAAAGTACAAAAGAGACATCAGGGACCGTCCAAACAATACGGAGTTGAAAGTATCTATGGAAAGCCCAGTTCGGGACAGGTGACGTTTCGAATTCCTTTGATGTCCCTTGTGCCAGTGACCCTTTCAACTCAGTGGACGTTTGAGCTTGGACTGTCCCATGGATTAACAGACACCAAAAGCAACCGTGCATGGCCCAAACAAGTCAGGGATGTGTCTTATGGAGCGGTCCAGGTCCCCCTTATTGATGAGGAGTTTTCTCCCTACCCCTTCAGACAAACGGAAAACCCCGACCTCTCTCGACAGGCCTCAGCGATGTCTATATAAGCCAATCTTTCATACCCTCGATTCATCGCAACTTGCCAATACAACTAATTCATCTAATTCATCACCAGTTGGAAAAACTCACTTTGACATTCAACAGCTTCACTAACTCCTTCATTCATCGTACAGACAACAAGAACAACAAGAACAACAAGAACAACAAGAACAACAAGAACAGCAAGAACAACAAGAACAACAAGAACAACAAGAACAACAAGAACAACAAGAACAACAAGAACAACAAGAACAACAAGGACAACAAGGACAACAAGGACAACAAGAACAAGTCAGCAACTGAACCAAAAGCAGACCCAAGATGAGCCAAACCTACTCTCTCAAGAGCTCAACTCGCATCACTCGAGATGATACCAAGACCGCTGCCGAAGCCGGCTGGGTCCTCGAGAGCATTGCTGATCAAGGTAACCTGCCCACGCCCGAGCAACTTCAAGACGTTCACAACCAAATCTCGGAACTTCACAAGGGTGCACGAAGACTTTTTGCGCACTTTACATCCCGCCACTCTCATAGTCAAGCGGCTTTCATGAGGAAAAAGTTCGAGTTCCGTTCCGTTACCGAACAGGATTCCGACACAGTCACTCACACCCATGAAGCATGGCTCAAATCTGAGTACAGAGAGGATGATAATGACACGTTGACACAAAGTCAGATTTCGGCACCAGGGAACAATCATTGGTCCATGTCAATACCTCACACGCATCTGAGCAGTGCGGCAGATTCCGATTTTGTTCAAGAGATTTTGAGAAGAACTGAGGACGAGCTAGCGGAACTTGATGCCTCCGGTGAAGCGGGTATAGACGGTCAGGAAGATTCCGATTTTGTTCAAGAGATTTTGAGAAGAACTGAGGACGAGCTAGCGGAACTTGATGCCTCCGGTGAAGCGGGTATAGACGGTCAGGAAGAAGCTACTGGAATGGACACCAATGATCCGGAGTATTCAGATGAAGGGAGCAGTGTGGACGGTGACACCATTGATCAAGAGGCTTCAAGTAACTTTCAGGAAGATCAAGCACAACTTACTCCCTCAGGTCAGGCACAGACAGAAAGTTCGGAAGAAGATACAGAGATGGACACCAATGATCGGGAGTATTCAGATGAAGAGAGCAGTGTGGACGGTGACACCATTGATCAAGAGGCTTCAAGTAACTTTCAGGAAGATCAAGCACAACTTACTCCCTCAGGTCAGGCACAGACAGAAAGTTCGGAAGAAGATACAGAGATGGACACCAATGATCGGGAGTATTCAGATGAAGAGAGCAGTGTGGACGGTGACACCATTGATCAAGAGGCTTCAAGCAACTTTCAGGAAGATCAAGCACAACTTACTCCCTCAGGTCAGGCACAGACAGAAAGTTCGGAAGAAGATACAGAGATGGACACCAATGATCGGGAGTATTCAGATGAAGAGGGCAGTGTGGACGGTGACACCATTGATCAAGAGGCTTCAAGCAACTTTCAGGAAGATCAAGCACAACTTACTCCCTCAGGTCAGGCAGAGACAGAAAGTTCGGAAGAAGATACAGAGATGGACACCAATGATCAGGAGCATTCAGATGAAGAGAGCAGTGTAGAAATCGATCCCGAACTCCAAGAGGCCCTGCAGGTCATTGACAATCATGTGGCCAGGGCAGTAGCCGATTATCACTCCAGTCAGGGGGTAACAGTGGGAATGGACACTGCTGATCAGGAGTCAGGAGTCGCTTCAAGTAGCGATTCAAGTAGCTCTTCAGATGAGGAGGAAGAAGAGTAAGGGAATGGAAATCATCGAGAATATGGAGACATATGACCATGCATGATATGAGAAGTTGCCCTTGATTTGCTAGCACGTACAATCACTTCTATCTTCTTTCCCTTTGAAGAAAACATGATTCTGATAGGGTATCTGATTTTATTGACCGAGTTGGAGATCGATTGAGTGATCAGCTCTCACGCACGTTCTCACGATTTGAACTAAACATTTCTCACGTCTATCTCATCATGATTGTCTCACTCATATTCCCCAATCGGGAAGATTACAGGGTACACAGCTTTTGACTGGAATTCTTCTCACATCTTCCATATTCTCACGGGGAGGGATCTCGGTCTAGGAGGAAGGTCGAATCTTCCCTTTCAAGTCGGAGATTCTGGTTCTAGAGAGGCGTGAGAAGGAGGCGATGAAGGAGAGAAGGGACAGAAGGAGAAGGAGAAGGAGGGGGAGGGGAAGGAAAGATACTTAAACTCCCCCTTCACCCTCAATCTCTCAACTCTTTCCCACTTTACAAATCTCAATCACCACATCAATCGATCAGACACACATATGAGCGGGACAAGCAGCACCTCATCAGGCGAGCAAAGTGGGACAGGTAGGGAGGCAGACAACGCTACAAGCACACTTGCGGTGGTGGGTCCATTGACCGATGGCTCCGTTCCCGAAGCCACTGCCAACTTTGACTCGAGTTTACTCCAGGATCTGCCTGTCACCAGATTGGTATATGCATTATATATAGAGGACAATGATGGTACCTCTACAGCAGCCGATGAGCCCGTCCCCCCATCAGGATGGGTGCAATTGGCCTACGCTTTTAAAAAAGCAGCCAACAAGGGAAACAGGGGTGAAGCCACGGAAACAGATCATACGATGGCTGACGACGTCATTGGTATGATCGCTTCTCTTATTCACAACACATTGAAGTTTGTGAAAGGTGAAGGACAGGAATCCTCCCTGGACACGGTTATTCAAAAAGTTTTGGACAGATCTAGCGGCAAGTTGTCAACACTCAATATTCACAGATACACAGGTGCACAGCAGGAAGACTTCTGGTCTGTAGTTAGGAAGAACTTGCCGCCTAACGATGATACTACATATGAGGGCAGTGTTGCCCAGGAAGTGGGGGGCTTGTGGGGTAATTCAGCTTTTGGTATGTATCGAGTCCCCTATGAAAGGGAACCTGACAGTGACTCAGATGGGCATGTTTATGATGATGTGTCACGAAGTGACAAGACAGTTTGATAGTGATAGTGATAGGATGGGTTGGGTATTTAACCAGCGACCGGCGGTATGCAGTAACCGCCGGTTAATAGGCCTTTTAGCACAGTGGTTTAGACCGCTGCCTCTGAAGGGCACTGTTATATCGTCCCAATGCTGGTTAGTTGGTCTCGTGACAGATTAACCGGCGGTTACGGGTAGGATCCTGGGTTCGACTCCCAGGGTGGGCTGGGTCAAATTCAGTCCCTACTTGGAAAACCTCCCTCTCGGAGAAAGTTTTCGGCCTATCGTACCCTTCCCTGTTGGGGCCCCAGATGGGGCTGAAAGGGAAGGCATAATGTCACGAAGTGACAAGACAGTTTGATAGTGATAGTGATAGGATGGGTTGGGTATTTAACCAGCGACCGGCGGTATGCAGTAACCGCCGGTTAATAGGCCTTTTAGCACAGTGGTTTAGACCGCTGCCTCTGAAGGGCACTGTTATATCGTCCCAATGCTGGTTAGTTGGTCTCGTGACAGAGATGCCCTAAACGGCCACAGACCGGAACCTCGCCATCCCGCTCGAATATTTGAAGGGGTCATCGCTTTGATACTGGCCTGAACAAAAGAGTTTGTCCATTCTCCTTTAGAAATCCTATCCGGAGTGCTTGAAGCCCACTTGTCTGCATCATCGGCCATTGCAAGCTTCATGGGCGTGAAGACGGCCACATTGAGAGGCTGAGTTTTGTGAGAGGAATGTGAAGGAAGAATGACAAGATCAATGGCATTTTCTATACAAAGAGCAATGAAAGTGGACTGGACGTGACTTCCATGACCGTTCACAATAAGGAGACGGCGATCTTGAGATATGGGAGGTGAGGTTGAAGTAGAAGGTACTGTGGTTGCGATATTGGTCGAAGATGAGGTTTCTGTGAAAGGGAGAAAGATGTTCTTGAGCCACTCTAAGGCAAGTGTGTCATTGGACCATCCAATATCACTGGTACACCAGTGCCAGTCGGTGGTGACCTCGGGGTGAACGGTCGGTAGATATGAGGTGGAAAGATTCTTGCCTTTGAAGATAACAAGACGGGGTAGGGCTTGTCCATCCGCAGCTACACATTCAATAGTCCTCACCCACTCCTGGCGACCAGTAATCCCCTTCTCCGCTCGTCTCCCTCCTGTTCCCCCTACTGCAAGTACTCTAGTGGTTGCTGAGGTACCTATACCATATCCGGACTCATCCATATTATAAATACTTCAAGCCAAATAGTGATGTGTTTCCACCAAGGACCCAACTTCCGCAAAGAAAGGTGCCAGCTTCTCCACGGTGCCTCCATCAATCCGAGAACGGTCAATCTGACGTGTCCAGACACTATTGACAGCAGGGTGACGTTTCTGGACCTTCGCCATCCAATTCTTGCCAAGGGAGCTGTTACGACCCTGTCACTCTACGATGTATTCGCCATCATCGCCTACTTCAACAGGCTCGTAACACCTACAACACCTTACAACATCTCTTCGACCTATCGCTCCACAACTCGCTGCATCCTTCATACTTCACCACCCTGGTGTCACTGTCGTCACCTTGACATCACCCCGACATCACCCCGCGCCACTGTGGTACAGTACGAGCCATGGTGGCACCACTACGACACGGCCCGCACCACAATGGAGGAGCCTGATGTCACCTTGACGCCACTATGGGTCAGCATGGATCAGTACGGATAACCCTGGGTCAAACTGACACCACCTTGGATCAGGCTGGCGTCACTACGGATCAGGCTAGGTCAGCACGGATCAGCATGGGACGGGACCATTCAGGCTGGCGTCAGAATGACGCCGCCCGGAGAGGTGGCGCTACACCGGGGGGACCAAATGATGGATATATAAGGAGCACATTTTGTCTTGATCCTCTTCAAGGATCAATCTATCATAAGTTACATAAGTTACAAAAGTGACAATAGTCTTCCATAGGCCTTCCATAGTCTTGAAATACATCTTCGGTCTACTTCGCTTCGCTTGCCGACACTTCGGGATCCTTTGAGCATACCTTTGGTCACATTACCACTTTGACCACACCCTTCGATCTTCGACCATAGAAGTCTAGTGGTTGTGCAACTTCGCCTCCGCACAACCCAAGCTTGCCGATTACGACTTCCGCCGTCTACTCGTCGCTGGCCCCAAGGCCTGCCAGGTTCGAGTCGTAACAGGAGGGGAGGAACAGTGGAGTATGAGCAGTAGTGGTCGATTGGACGGTAATACAATTTTGTCGAAGATGCTCTGCAAAATCAATGACACATTTAGGGGTTGGTGGATGGCCCATTGTCGTGTAGCGTTGGAAGTAGTCTACGAGGCAGTTCTCCTCAATCTTAGATAGAGACTGCAGATGCTCCGCAGCTGTGACACGGTCGTTTCTACCATTCAGACGAGCTGAGAGACTTGACTTGGGGACATCAAATTGAGCAGCAATTTGTCGCATAGAAAGTTGCTGTTCAGGGGTTAGGGAGGACTGAGACCTGTAGGTATCCAGTGCTAACTCGAGTGCTGATTTCATGGCTTCCATGACCGATGGGTAATGATTTGAAAGCAAGAAGATGATACATCATGTAAAGGAGCTATAAAGAAAATTGTGTCCCGGTGGGGGGGGGGGGGTCCCAATGGTAGGTGAGACATGTTAGTGAAAGATTGATAGAGATAGCTACATTCAAATTGAGATACATCGCCATCAGTAAAATAAAACCCTAGTTAGAGTAACTACGTCGAAGTACGCTGTAGTTGCACTCCTCCTGACGTCTGCGCCCTCCTGGTTGGGTGAGACATTGACTTAGAAGCGTCAAGTTAGCCGAGGTTTGTCGACCGTCAGTCTGTTAGAGAGTAGTTGGTCGACGGCTGTGACAAGGAGGTATCATTCTTGAGGAAGGAAGTGTTGCCAGTAAGGTCATAATAAGATGTGCAGGCGGATTGGGAACAGGTACTGTAGGAGGAGTGTCACGGGCCGGGTCTAATCCCCAATGGGTAGGCAAGGTGACTGAGATGGGGCTGTAACCCAATACTTGTCTCTGGCTCGTAGAGCTTGAGGATGTAATGACCCTGCTTGTGAGGATCACCACAAATAAATAAATGTAACCTACCCGTAGGGCTGGATACTGAATCGGAACTCTGTGATGTGGATAATACTAGTCCGCAATGATCAAAGGTCAGTAGATGTAAGTAAAGAGTATATCAAGGAAACCAAAGAGGGTCTGAGAGAGGGCGGAGGAAAAGAAGGAAGGGGAAGAAGAAGTGAGAAGAAAGAGGATGGGAGAAGAAAGACAATGGAGGAAGAGATCTGTCACGGCCGTCGAGCAACTACTTCCTAATAGACCGACGGTCGACGAACCTCGGCTACTTCACGCTCTGAGTCGATGTCTCACCCAACCAGGAGGGCGCAAACGTCGAAAGGAGTGTAACTACGGCGTACTTCGGCGTAGTTACTCTAACTAGGGTTTTGTTCTACTGATGGCGATGTATCTCGATTTATAGCTATCTCTATCTGTCTTTTACTACTGACAACAATCAAGGATCGCTGAAGAACTTCAGCGATCTTCTCAGCTAATATGACCTATCCCTCCTAGACGTTCATCCAACCCTCCCGCGCTTTGACGTACTTCAACGCACTTCGTCCAACTTCCCCGAACCCCGGCCATCCTCCTCCTCCTTCGACTAACTCCGCCTAATATCGCCGCACTTCTGCTCCCATTGTCCCTACCTAGCCTAACTCCGCCTAACTTCGCCGCACTTCTGCTCCCATTGTCCCTATTTACCCTAACTTCATCTAACTTCGCCGTACTTGGTCTCAGAGGTCCTGAGTTACGTGTAGAGTAAAGAGGTTTGAGTCGTGATGGGGTTTTGATGGTCAAAGGAGGGTCGTTGTTGGTGGAATAATCGAGGTGTCACGACGTAGTTCGTGACAAGATCCCCCTCAGACCCGGCTTATATGCATAAATGAGCTGACGTTGGCCGCAGCGTTGACGGGGCAACAACGGTGCCTTCGGGTAAGAGAGACTATGAAATAAGAGAACTATGTACTATGGAAGGATATCTATGCTTCTGTTGGAGCATGAGAACATGATATGAGAGGGTGGTACTATCAGATGATCAATAGTAGAGTCTCTTCTATGTGGGGGATGGTCCGATCCACTACAGAGGAGTATACAGAGGGTGACAAGGGACTGAGGGTACTGAGAGAACTGAGAGAACTGAGAGAACTGAGAGAACTGAGAGAACTGAGAGAACTGAGAGAACTGAGAGAACTGAGAGAACTAAGAGAACTGCAAGATGTCAGGCTGGATCTGACTGGACTGACAAGTTGAGAATGAGATTCATAGGTGGGGAACAACCTGTTTGGAGGGGGTTCATATCCACAGCAAAACAGGCTGAACTACAAAACTACAACAATAAGCTACGGAAGAACTGCTAAACATATTTGCAATTCTCTTCAATAGAATTGGCAATCCTGACAAGTGAAACTAAGAACAATAGGCAAAGGACCCAGGGGTCCAGGGGTAACTGTTCCAGGTTCATGGGTGCGACAAGGAACAATAGACAGGGGACACAGGAGTCCAGGGATAAGTGTGTCAAGCATGTGAACACAAAGGGGAACAATAGATGAAGGGCACAGGGGTTCAGGGGTAGGTGTTTCATGTGTGGGAGTGTCAGAGATAACAATAGGGATTGTTGATGGAGATCAAGAACAATAAACCTAAGCCAAAGGGGGTCAGGGGTAAGTGTCCCAGATGTGTTTCAGGTGTGGGAACACGGGAAAGGACTATCTTAGGTGGCAAGTAGGTGATGTATGACAAGGAGTGAGGGGTGTGATCGTCTTCTCTGGAGTTGAGGGATGACCTGAAGCACTCTTAACGTCCCTGCTGAAAAGCATCTTCCCATCTTTCTCTATCTTTATGTACCAACCACTCTTTGCTGGATCCATTCCTACGACTCTTCCTAATTCTCCCTTGTCACTGTCTAACCTTGACTTTCCTCGTATCTCCCCAGGGATCTGAACAATGCCAGCTCCCCAAACATCAAAGCATGTTTTAGATTTGGATCTCTACCCGTATACTTCATCCACACATTAATACCATCTTCGCCCCGGGTTGTCTTTATGAAGAGGGAACAGGCGTATTTCACCACCCCCCCCATCCCAGTAGTCGTTGTTCAAGTTGGCTGATGCCAACATTGCTCCAGTCATCTCCTTGAGAGTTCTGTTGAACCTTTCCACGACTCCATTCAGCTCGGGAGTGTACCTAGGAGTAACTTGATGAATAATTCCCGTCTCGTGGTACCAAGCACCTGCTGGCCCACTGGCAAATTCCAATCCACCATCACTCCTGATAAACCGGACTTTCCCTCCTGTCTGTCTCTCCAACGTGTTGACAAACCCTTTCAGGTGAACCAATATGTTCTGCTTATTAGGCAGGGGTATCACCAAAGCAATCAGAGAATAGTCATCTATCATTGCCAGATAATGATGATTTCCTCCAATGGATGGGTCAAAAGGACAGGCCAGATTGACATGGACCATCTCTCCATCTGCCTTCCCCCTTGGGCTTTCCTTCCCCTTGGGTAACCTTGTTGCCCTGCGAGCTTGACAAGTGTTGCATTCCTCCAGCCTGAACGTATCCTGTTCCAGCTGCTCCCTTGAATAGTGTAGCAGTCCATCACCTGCTAGCTTCAGGAGTTTCTCACGACCAATATGACCTAGTCGTTTATGTTCCTCTTCCAGAAGACTTGTTCTTGCTTCGATTTCATTTACTTGAGGTATCTCAAAGCCTTCTGGTTGAGATGTATTGTGGTGAACAATCCCCATCTGGACAAACAGGAAAATCCCCCGTCTCTTGCCCCTGATGATCAAGCCGTTTCTTGATAAAACCATGTCATGCAGGTCAACTTTCCCCCCCTTATCTATCAGAGTATATGCTGAAAGACATTTCCTTGTAGCTGAGGGTTGATAAAATATGTCTTGAAGTTTTTGTCACAAAGTGTGTGACAAGTCAAGCGAATGTCGGGGAAGGGTATTTAACCAGCGATCGGCGGTATGTGTCACAATCATCGTTTGTTCTTCTCTACTGACCGACGGTCGACAAACCTCGGCTAAGTACGTCGTACTGGGGCGTCGATGTCTCACTAGGACAGGGTACTCGTCGAGGAACTACGGCTAACTTCGCCGTAGTAATACGTTGAGTGGTAAATGATAAGATGATCGT